ATTCAGAACAAATCCAGTTCAGCTCAACTCAATAATGAGTAGTAGGTTTCCAGCCAGATTTCAGTTCCACGACAGAAGATGTCCAACTGAAAAAATTTGTCAGTGTGTTTTCCCGTGAAGGGGAGTCATCCAAAAATCAAATCACTTGGTTCAGACCCGCTCAGGGGAACCACCTGAAGAATTATAACCGGCTTAGACCCGTGAAGGGAAGCCATTTTTTATAAACTATCGGTAGTATAACTCAAGGCGAGAAGTGTTATCTTTCAGCCAAGACCTTCGAGTACGACTATGCTCAGCTCCAAGGCACATGATTTGAAGCATAGCTCAAGGCTAGAAGGGATATCTTCCACCAAAAGACATTCGAGTTTGACTACGCTCAACTCCAATGCACATTATTTGCAGCATAACTCAAGGCTAGAAGGGTTATCTGCCAACCAAAGACCTTCGAGTTCGATTACGCTCAGCTCCAAGGCACATCATTTGCAGCATAACTCAAGGCTAGAAGGGTTATCTTCCAACCAAAGACCTTCGAGTTCGACTACGCTCAGCTCTAAGGCACATCATTTGCAGTATAGCTCAAGGCTATAAGTACTATCTGCCACCCAAAGACCTTCGAGTTCGACTACGCTCAGCTCCAAGGCACATCATTTACAGCTAACTCAAGGCTAGAAGGGTTATCTGCCAACCAAAGACCTTCGAGTTCGACTACGCTCAGCTCTAAGGCACATCATTTGCAGTATAGCTCAAGGCTATAAGTACTATCTGCCACCCAAAGACCTTCGAGTTCGACTACGCTCAGCTCCAAGGCACATCATTTACAGCTAACTCAAGGCTAGAAGGGTTGTCTGCCAATAAAAGACCTTCGAGTTCAACTACGCTCAGCTCAAAGGCATATCATTTACAGCATAACTCAAGGCTAGAAGGGTTAGCTGTCAACAAAGACCTTCGAGTTCGACTACGCTCAGCTGCAAGGCACATCATTTGTAGTATAACTCAAGGCTAGAAGGGTTATCTGCCAACCAAATACCTTCGAGTTAAACTACGCTCATCTCCAAGGCACATCATTTGCAACATAACTCAAGGCTAGAAGGGTTATCTGCCAATCAAAGACCTTCGAGTTCGACTACGCTCGGCTCCAAGGTACATTATTTGCAGCATAGCTCAAGGCTAGAAGTGATATCTGCCACCCAAAGACCTTCGAGTTTGACTACGCTCAGCTCCAAGGCACATCATTTGCAGCATAACTCAAGGCTAGAAGGGTTATCTGCCAACAAAAGACCTTCGAGTTCGACTACGCTCAGCTCAAAGGCATATCATTTATATCATAACTCAAGGCTAAAAGGTTTATCTGTCAACAAAGACCTTCAAGTTCGACTACGCTCAGCTCCAAGGCACATCATTTGCAGCATAACTCAAGGCGAGAAGGGTTATCTGCCAAAGACCTTCGAGTTCAATTACATTCAACTCAGAGGTAAATCAAATTTATAGAATAGCTCAAGGCGAGAAGGGCTACCTGTCAACAAAATTTTCGAGTTCGATTCCATTAAGCTCGATGACTTATCGACTACCTTCCGGGTAAAGTTTCAACTAAGGTCTTTAAGTCAAGAAGAAGACATTGGTTAGCCATGCATTAGTGACAAGAAACCCTCTTCCAACAGCATAGCTTAAGTCAAGAAAAGCTATCTGTCAACAAAGATTTCTGAGTTCGATTTTGAGACTATCGACCATATGGTGGAGTCAATGAATTATTTTTCAGTCGATTTTTTTAAACCGAGGTCTTTAAACCGAGAAAAAGACCAAAGTTGACTACAATTTCACATCGAGAAGCCACATTCCAATTCAAATTGCGAACTACAACTTCAATTCCATTTCAAGATAGACTCAACTTCGCGTTAGAGGAGTCATCCGTAACTCAACTCGACATAGAGTTATTTTTAATTGAAATATCAGAATCAATTTTCAACTCCACCGAACGAAATTTATGTCATTTTGCCTTTGTCCTATTTTTCGTTCCACGAAAAAGGACAAAGAGGGGCAACTATAGACACCAAATTTCGTCCGTTAATATTATATAATATATTTACACTATAAGCTATATTATATAACATATTTTATTACATATGTTGCACATATTTACATATATTTGTTTACATTCTATCAGGCCCAAGAACAAGTAAAATCATGGCCCAAGAGCAGATATTACATGCTCAGTAGCCCAAGCCACAACCCAACACCGACCCATTTCCAGAAATACGCGACCCGAACGAGTGGCAACCTAGATCCAGTGAACCAGTTCAGACCTGATGCAAGCTAGGGTTTCCAAAACCTAGCAAGAAAGCCCCCAAGCGCCACAAGCATCCCTCGGTCAAACGCCTTCCTCACGCCTACAACAACCCGAGTTCCACGTCGGAGATATCAGCACCCACAATAACCGCAACCAACAACAGCAGATTAATCATATTATGACTCTAAAAATAGGTTTTTTTCTATATTATAAATACATGTAACTTGAACACGATTACACACGGTTGTACACAAAATACACAAGAAAAAACGAATATTCGAAAGGAGAACAAGTTTTGTAATCGTTCGAAAGCATAGAAATAAAATGTTTAATTTCTTTTTACCTTCGTTTCGATTTTCTTGACTTGCATGTTATCTTTGACTTGAAGAATTACCGAATGGTCGATGTACATAATAGGGAAACCACGATCTTTTCTCTTAGATCTACAGTTCCCCGAGGCTCGATTTTGAAAAATACCTTGATATTTTAAAAGTATGGACAACGGGCTTTCTGAAAAGCAAAAATTTTTAAGGATTCGCCGCCAATGGGCGGATTTTGGGTTTTTGGATGAACACGGTCTTGTGAAGAACACTTGAGAGCATTTGCTAATTTAGGGGGGCTTCGTTTTGAAATGAGAAAAATGAGAAAGTTTTCAAAAAAAAATTGACTTTTATGCTAACCCGTTAAGATCGACCCAACCCGAGCGGATCCCCTAAGGGATCCGCGTATTTTTAAACGTAGATGGGGTTAATACCCATTTCAGTCCCTCGTCGTTTTCAAACCCCCATTCTGGCCCAAAAAATAATCTTAATTCCAAATCCCATTTTAAATTCGACCTGTTTTTTTTATTTTCTTCCAATTTAGTCACATGTATATATTTTATTTTTATCTTTTTCATTTATTTTATTATATATATATTATTATTTTTTTATTATTACTTCTTTTCCTAATGTTTTATGTATATATATATATATTATATATATATATATATATATATATATATATATTATTTTATTTATTTATTGGTTTTTACCTAAAATTCACTATTTGCTAGGGCCCCATTTGTTTTCTTCTTACCAAAATCTCTCGTGATATGATAAAAGGGGTTAGGTATTAGGTTTATTATTATTATTATTATTATTATTTCTTTTTTGTCCTTTTTATTATTATTTTTTTACCTATAGTTTAGATATATATATATATATATTATTTTTTTAATTTTATTTTCTTTTGTTTTCTTTGATTTCATTTTTTATTTTTATTTTCATCTCATTCTATTTTACTTTATTTCTTTTATTACTTTTCTTTTTAATTTATTTTTACTTTTATTTTTTATTTTATTTTATTTATTATTATTTAGCTACTTTATGTTTTTTATTTTACTTCTTTTCTTTATTGTAGTAATATTCTATGTTTAATTCTGCAATTAGTACTTCCATGTTTATTATTTTTTTCTTTTTATTTTCAATTCGATTGCCCTTTATTTGCTTCAGCATGCATTTTTTCCTTGATTCTGCATCTTACTACATCTAACACTTTCTTGACTTTTTAAAAGGGTATGTTTTTAAATCCGTCAAAGGTAAGTAATTTGAATCGAATGTTTTAATTTTTAATTTAATTTTTTAATTTTCGTAATTAAAGACAACCGACAAATTAATTGGTATCGAAAGGGCAGTTTAAAGGTGCTAATCCTTCCTTGACCGTAATCGACTCCCAACCCGACGCATTTCTGGTACAACACAGATCAGGTAAGATGGTGTTCGACCCACCTAAATTTATTTTAAAATGACTGGTGGCGACTCTAACCCAATTATTCAAGTCGAAACCCAATTCCGGGCCCAACTGAAAGATAGTCGCGAGAAATGTATATTTAAATAATTTTAATTTATACTTTTGTAAATTATAAATCACATATAAAAACATTTGTGTGAATTTATTAAGCAAATTTAATGGTTAAAAATATTTTTTTTAAAAAATTTAAATTCGAATAATTATTTTTATAACATGTATTCGTCATTTATAATTTAAAGTAATTATAAATAAATATTATCTTATAATTATATTATACTATTATAAAATATTCATATGTATAACAAGTATGAGACAATAATATTAATTGTCACATTTATGATACTACTCTATATATTCAATAAGCTTTAATTTAAATTGATTTGTTTATTTTTTTAAGTTAGGTAGAGGATAAATAATTGGTATCATGTGCCTCCAAATATATGAGAAATAAAAAATTAGTTGACTCTTATTCTCATATGTAATGGGATAAGGGGAGGTAGGATAGTAGACTGCCCCAACGTCAGGTTGAGAGCAGCTTCCGTAGGAGACCTTTGAATTATGAAATGCCCTCCGTGTGACTCGATCCCGCAACCCCAAGGTTAAGAACCTTGTGCTCTACCAACTGAGATGGATGATCATTTCCAAATATATGAGAAATAGGGGTGTGTAAAAAAATCTGATCCGACTATTCCGATCCGAAAATTCAGATATCCAATCCGACTGATCCGATCTGAAAATTCGGATATCCAATCCGTTTTTCAATTTTCTAATAGTTCAGATCGGGTATCCAAATTTTTTTTTCAGATTTTCGGATCGGATACAGATCTATAAAAAATCAGATTCGAATTATCCGAAATCCCAAAAAAAAAATTGTGCTATATTAATAGGTTTCAAACCCAGAGCTATTTGGGCTATATGCATTCTTTCAAACCCAGAGAAGTACGGGTATTAGTGTCAAAGTAATCAAGTTTCTTTCTTTTTTTTCTTTTTTTCTTTTTTTCTTTCTCTTTCTCTAATCAAGTTTCTTCTTCGATTTCTTCCGACTCCTTCAAGTTGGAAATTTTGGCTAGAAATTCTGTCTCTTTTCTCGACCGCCGCCTCTAAAGGTAAAATTTTCACTTTTTTTGTTGTTGTTGAATTAACTTTTTATTCATTAGAAATCATTTATTTATTTTTGTTATCTCCTTCATCTATTCGACTCTTCTCTAAATAGGGTTTATGAAACTATAACGAACTTTTGTTTCCCGTTGTTGTATGGATTGTTTCTTCGTTTATTGTTATTCAAGTTAATTAGTGATTGATCTCGGATTTTTTAATCTGAACTGTATTGCGATGTAGGTTAAACATTTAGGTTTCCTTGTTAGCTTCTGAGTTCGATGGTTTTGTGTTGAATTGCCTTTATGGAAGATGTAGGTTAAACAAAGTTGATCTTTGTCTTAGAAAAAGGGTCTTAGAAAAAGGAGAGTTGCTTTAGTTTCAGAACTTGCACCAGAGCCATTTTTTTCTTTTGGGTCAAATTATTTCTAAATAGCTCCGTAACCATCCTTGCCATATATCCTCCCCTTTTGTCTTATGCTCACATGGTAAAGATAATCCACATATGAAAGAGCAGCAAATTTCATCTTCTATGTTTCAATCGTCTGGGGAAAGCTTTCCTTCTAACATGTTACCTATCCAAGAGTCTTACTTTGCTCTACAACCAAATTCGTCTTTAATTTCCTTACCTCCAGCTTCAGCTCCACCTCTGCCACCACCACTGGACTCAACTGTAACACCCAGTGTTCCTTCACATTTTCGGCTGAGTTACTTTCCTCTGAGGAATGATTTTGGTTCCCAGATTATTCCTAGACCTTACCTTACTGAATTGCATGCATGTTTTCAAGCTGATGGCTTAACACAACCTCCAATGCGGAACATTATTGCTTCAAATTCCTTTTACCAGGGCAACACTCATCCTTATACTCTGCCCTGCTCAGAACAGTTGCTGGGAAGCAAAATGCAACCATTTCCCTCTTGAGAGTTTGCCGCCAGGTGGACTTTCTTGTTAATGTTAAATTAATTATTCAAAATAATAGATTATATTTTCATTCTATAGACACTTAATTTTAAAATTTTGCTTAATCTCTCGGCCCTAAATATGTTTGAAAAGACTGATTAGTATTAGGAATCAGAGTCAATTTAACTAGCGGTGTGCTCGCGCCCAAGCAGACGTGTTGTTAATCATTTGTCTTTACTGTACGCTTATTAGTACGTTGAAATTTGATTGTTTGTGCATTAAGTCAGGCTCGTAAGGCATTCAAGTACTGAACTCAATTCTCTTTTTCTTTTCTTTCCTTTTTGTGTGTGTGAGGTCCTAAAGTTTTGTTCAAAGCATCTCTCAAAGAATCTGTCTAACTTATCACTATGTCTGCTGTTTCCAATATGATATCATGGCTTTTAGCTTTGTATTTGATAACACAGTTCGTTATGGTCCTGGTCTTATTAATGTTATTGTTTAGTGTATTTGTATATAATTTCCCAATATATGGAGATAGTTTAATGGTTTGTGTTCCACCTTGCTTATTTCACATTTCTGTTTGGCATGATTAGTAAGGATATATTCACTTTGCTTGTTCGTGCTTGTTAAAGCTTGATTTTATTTATGTTATTATGTTACATTTTTTTTTTGCTTGTAAGTTGATTTTTTTCTCCTTTATTTTTAGCACTCAAATTTCAAGAGAATTTACATAAAACAGGGCTTTTCATACTGTAGATGCTGGCTGTAAACCACTCGTTGATGATTTTCTCCCAAGTGCTTGCCCACCCAACATCAATGCTCCATCTGATTGTAAAGTAAGAGGATCAAATTACATTTAAAGGATTAACTTGTCAATTTTAGTAAAGCAAATGGACGATATTCACAATTAAGTCACATCTACTCACTTGCTTGCAGAGTTTTCTAAGTTTCAGCTGATGAACATGGCGAAGTACATGCCCAAGGAGAATATGATGTGGAAAAATCCATAGTTATAACGGATATCATCCTCTAGTTTCATCATATCTTTGCTAAATTGGGAAATCATAAGAGCTATTAAATGTTTCTTATTTGATTAATGCTTTTATTATATCGATTTTTTTTTTAATTTTTTGCAAAAATATCAGATTCGGATATTCGAATATTTGATCCGAAATTTCGGAGATACGAACCATTACTTTAGATATCTAAAAATTTTAAATATCTAAAAATTCAGATTCGATAATATCTAATATCCGATAATATCTAATATCTGATAATGCTCCGCCTAATGAGAAATGATAGCCAATACTGCAAATGTCCATTTTAAAAGAAACTCAAATTAAATTCCATCTTTGCCAGTTGCCACGTGGTTGTCGTAGCTAAAATGGATTGAGAAATAAGAGAAAAAGTCATTTAATTAAAAATACTGTAAAATAATTATTTGGGCGGCAAAAGCGCACGTGACGGCAAAAATCAAAATTCCGACATCAACCTCGTCAACACGGAATTACCCCATGGGCCCAAGGCCAAACTCATGATTCCCGCCTCACTTTGCGCCCTCGATACCTCTCTTACGAGTATTCCAGAACTACCACGTTCCCTCAGTTCCCCCTTATCCTGACCCTTGGATGTTCGATCAGATTTAAACAGCAGTCTCGATCACTCGAGTAGCAATAGATGTTATTTTAGTGGAAGAAGCAGCTGATTTCTTTTTTCTTTATTTTAAAGGGCCCCACGAGTGCCGTCATCAAACAGATTTTCTAACATCCGCCAAATCTACCGCTAAGCATAGTAAATTGACATTGACGTGTCGCTGCCATGGATAAAATAAAATTTAATTTTTTGACCAAAGATATTAAAATCAGTAAATTTCCAAATATTAGAAAATATTTAATTTCGTGACTCAAATTTTATTTATAATAAAGTAGAAACAACGCTGAGAAAATATTTTCTCAAGCTGTCAAAAATAGAGATCACTGAGTTAGATTTTTTTTAAATACATAACACAATACATTAGCCTGTCAGTTTTTTAACTCAAAAAAATAAGACGAAAGGAAAGCCCAAAACGCAGAGAATTGAAGCTCAAAACGACATCTGGAAGAGAGAGACACAAATCAATCCATCTCAGCGGGCAATTGGTTAAGATCAAGATCAAACACTCTCCGCCGCACTCCGCCTTCGAAATCTACAACCGATAACGACGAATCGGAGTCGCTCTGAGCGCCACCAGTTGTGCGGCAACCCTTCCCGGAGGAAGCAAAGGCATCAAAGAAGTAAACCGGACGATGCGCCATCACAGGGAACGAAGAGCACGCGCTGGCTAGAGTTAGTTTCAACGGCGGCGGAGACGAAGATTCGACGGTGCTGCTCTGGCTGGGGCTGCGCGTGAAATCGTTAACGTTATTATCAGCGAAATTTGTTTTAGCCTTAGCGCCACGTAACTCCCGCGCCGCCGCGTCGTAAGCACGAGCTGCTTCCTCAGCCGTGTCGAAGGTGCCGAGCCAGACTCGGGTCTTCTTTCTCGGGTCTCGGATCTCGGCTGCGTAACGGCCCCATGGGCGCTTCCTAACACCACGGTAGCGGATCTCCTTTGAATTCGGGTCAGAAGTCGGGATAATCGGGGTGAGTGCTGATCTGGGAGCCATGGTTTTTTCTTCTTCCTTTCTTTAAATATATTAACTTCTTTTATATTTTGAAATGAAGGTTGGCTACGCAAAAATAGGGTTAGGGAAAATGGGTAAGAGAGGTGTTGGTTTATATAGAGGAGGGTGAGGTATAAAACGCACCGGTTCGGCGCTTTGTTGTGTGCAGTCAAAGCAGGATTTGTGGGAGTTCGTTTTCTGTTCCATGAGCCACTTTAGTTCATTACCACCGTCCAATAATTTTTTGCCACGTTTCTCATTGCCATATAGTATTACTATTACGTGATTATATTTGCTAAACATTAAAAATGTCTTGAATTATTTTATATTTTCTATTAAATTAGTTATATTTGTATAGAATTGAAAATTTTATTTACATAATATTTATTCTGTTTCAACTCAATTAAATATTGAAGATGATAGAAGTCTAACATTTGTTTATATTTGAACTTAATTTTTTTTTTATTTAGAATATGCTAAAGCTTGCTTATTTGACTTATTTAGTGGTCTTATGCTTTTCGACTATAATTTATTATTTATTATTGATAGAAGGAGGTTTAAGTTTTGTTTTGTTTTTTGGACAGATATACGCGTTTTATTACATAAATATAAAAGTTAAATAGGAAATTAAATTAAAACGGGTTCTTCAAAGAAAAACCCTTTGATGTAACACAAAACCACGTTTCCATTCGTCAAACGGGGATAAAAATTACAGGGCTCAATCGCATCGACTAGCATCACCATCTACACGTGTGAGAAATCAAGAGATTGTCGAATAATTAATGTACTATCGGGTGCAGTTGATCCCACTGACTTGGTCAGCCAAGTCTTCGACTGCCCTAATCCACAACCCAAGTATTAAGCAATTAATTAAATATGATTAAATAAACCCCAACTTGTAGCCGCCTCTGGCGCAACAAAAAAAAAAGACATAGTGGGCCCACTTTGTATAAAACTTTAGGAACCCACGTCAGTATGGTTTACTAACGGCGATTTTGCAGTTGCTTTGTTTGGTGGCCGTAAGGATTAACGGCAAAGTTACTCATGGTGACGGCGATTTTTTATTTTGTTTTTCCTTTGAGAAAATCGCCTCAGTGACCAAAAAAAAGTTATAATATACGATTTTAACAAACTTTTTTTGGATTTGCCAAAATGACCAACAAAATCGCAACGCGAAATAAAAATCGCAACGCGATCCCCAGAATCGCAAATCAGTTTCCAAAATCGCAACGCGATTCTTGAAAATCGCAATGCGATAGTACAAATTCGCATTGCGATTTTCCAAAATCGCAACGCGAATATGAAAATGCAACGCGAACACATAAATCGCAACGCGTCCGTAAATCGCACGTGTATCCGTAATCGCAACGCGTATGGGTAAATCGCAATGCGTATCCGTATATCGCAACGCGTATCCGTAAATCGCAACGATAATCCGTAAATCGCAACGAATCTGTAAATCGCAACGATAATCCGTAAATCGCAACGAGAATATGTAAATCACAACACTGAAATTTGGGTATATAACACTGAAATCATAAACTAAATCCCTAAATCGCAAACTCATTCCATCTCCATCTATCACTCTCTCCGGCGACATCCGTTCCTATATCCAACGACATCCTTCCCAATCCGGCAACAGGTTTTAGTTTCGCAGCTCGTCTGTTTAGTAATTAATTTACAACCATGAAATCATCTAATGTGATCATGTTTGGATAGATTTGTGTTTGGAGGGTCATGGGATAATGTTCATGGTGTTTTACAATATATGCCTTTACCTATGAATCTTCAACTAAAATTGTCTTTACAAAAGTTAACTTATGAAACTCTAATGCTACGTTTCAAATAAATTGAATTTAGAGCCCCTAAGTGGATTTAGGCTATCTTATCAGAGAAATGGTAAAGTTTATTTGTTAACCGACAATGAAGATGTTGAACGATTCATTGCTTACATTAGTTTCACAAGATGATGTTACATTGTATGTTGTTGAACCTAGAAGTAGTATTTGGGTCAGTAGCGGGTATCAACTAAGTTTTCTCAAAACCCAACCTTTCTCTAATCCAAATCCCAATCAACTTTCAGCACCAAATTCCGGTTTTCGTATTGACCAGTTAGACGATATGAGCCAACAGAAAAAATTGTGAGAGTACTAGTCAGTATTCAAAATTTGGTCTTGGTCATATCGGACTTTGATATTGGTCAATACACGGATTTGATGATGTTCAGAAGAAGAAACAGACCCGGCGTGTAATGATTTTGATATTGGTCAATACCCGAATTTTGATGATGAAACAGCCGTCGAAGAATGATTGTTGATGAAAGAGGAGGAAGTTACGACTGTGAATGAACATGTTGAACATCCATTCTGTATTCATAATCCTGAAGAAGAAAAAGAAGAAGAAAAAGTCCCGAAGAAAGAAAATGCCACGGGCGTATACTGGAATATGCCAGAATTACTTCAGATACCGGAAGAAGAGTTGGTAAAGAAAGCAGTTGATTGTTACACAAAAGTTATTCGTATCAAGAAAGATGATGTTTTGATACAAAGGAAGACTTGAAGATAGCTTTGTATACGAAATGTGTGGAAGATGGCTATCAACTAAAAGTTAACAAATCAAGCAAAGATCGTTTCGAAACAAGGTGTATGATTGACAAAAACTGTACGTGGCGTATGATTGCAAAGAGAAAAGATTGCGAAGTGTTTCAAGTTAGGACTTTATTGATAAACATACATGTTCAAGAACCAAGTTTTTCTCACCATAGACAGGCAAACAAAAAGGTGTTGGGTGGTTTTCTGGCTGAGTTAATGTTTTTGAAATGGCAGGGTATATCGGGGACATGAAATTTGACTGACATGAATGCTCGATTCAAGATTAGTATATCATATTCTCAAGCTTGGAGAGCCAAATTATGCCTTGGAATTGTTGAGGGGGTCGCCAGAAGCATCGTTTGCCCAACTGCCGGCTTATTGTCACAATTTAAAGCTGAAAATCCTGGGTCGGTAACTCATATCAAAAAGATAGAGATGGACGCTTTGAGTTGCTGTTATCGCCATTGGTGCTACGGTAGTAAATCAATATAATTTTGTTGACTCATTTTGTTAGTTACATGCATTTCACATTTAAATGATTATATTTCTTGTGTATTTTTTGTAGATTCGTTCGTTTATTACTTGCATGCGCCCAGTATTATAGTTGACGGAGCACATTTGAAAGGTCGATACTTGGAGTAAACTTAGCAGTAGCCATGGATGCTAACAATGGGATATTGCCAATAGCTTACGGGTTGGCAAATGAAACCTCGATTCATGGACATGGTTATGGGGCATCTTAGGGATTGTATAGGTCCTATTAGCAATCTGACAATCATATCCGATAGGGCAACTCAATTGACAACGCTGTTAGAAGGTGTTTCCCAGATGCTTTTCATGGACTTTGTGGTGTTCATT